AAAAACGAATACTTTCGCTATCCTACCGGCACGTTATATAAGGAAAACAATGTAATATACATTCGACAACTATACTTTTACTTTAGTAATATTTATCAACAAAAAAACAAGGGATTATTTAAGTACAACAACCACGTATACAGCACTCGAAACAAACACAAAAATATTGTTTTAACAAAAACAAACAAAAGTACCGGACAAAAGTGTTATAGCTATCTTGGCCCTAAAATGCATAACTGGCTTTCATATACATTTAAACAAATTAAATCTCTAAACAAATTTAAGAGAGATTTAAAACAATTTATTTTTCAAACTTCGAGAGAAACAATCCACAATTTTTTTACTTGTTAACAACATAAGTACTGTCAGTCTTGGTTCTTCTTCCCTTTTATCGCATCTCTATTTTCCTGAATTTCTTTTGTTTTATTTAAATATATTTTTTATATTAGAATTTTTATTAATTATATCAGAAATCTGCATATATGTTTATCTATAAATTTTAATTCTTATCATTACTATTTTACGCGCCTCTTTATGCATGTATTTATTTATTTATTTATTTATTTTTTCCTTCTTTTATACTCACACACAGGCCTTGTCTATAGTAAAGTATTCTTTTATTTACTGCTGAATGTATGTTACAATTATGTACACACTTGTAAATTTCTAATTGGTAAATAAAAATTTATTATTTATAAAATTTATTATTATTATTATTATTATAAGAGTAGTTTACTATTAAATTTATTTTAAAAAATAATAAAATCTTCAGGTGCCACAAAGCGTCTAAATTTGGGGAAAAACGGTTAAAAAACGATTTAATTTTAATTTTTTTTATTTCATTGGTAATATTTATTTTTCTTAACTTGGGTGTAAAATAAGTTCTATTCGATATTAATGTCAACGAAAACAAAAAATAGAGCATAAATCAAATATCCAGAAGTGCCACCGAGCTACTGAAAATGATAAAAAAATTTGAAAATAAAACAAATTTGGTCAAATATCAAAAGAGTTTATTATTACAATAGCTATTAAAGCAGTTTACTAAACTACTATATAACAAGTTAAAAAAATCAAGTTATTATTCTAGTTTATAATTAGATTTTTTTTTCAAATTGGGGCATCAAAGATCTGAATTTTAGTCTTGATTTTATATATCGCCGTTCCGGTAAAACAATGACGCAAGTGCAAAATTGTGACATTTTGATTTTAACATGTCATTAGTTTCCAAATTAGTCTCTCTATACGGTATAACAACGGCGAAATTTTTTATCCACTCCCGGCCATCTAAATGTTAGTTACTTCAATTTTCAAATATTAATGTTTGCCCCTCCACTTTTCAAAAACAATGACATATGAATCAGTTGTGTCTGCAAATTTAAGGGAGACATTACTTAGTCTATGGTTAAATGTTGTATTTGCTATTTAGGACAAGTTCTTTGTGATTTATGTGCTCAAATTTGGAAGTAATAATATTCGTTTTTCGTCTCTCCTGAAAAATTTATAATTTTGCATTTGCGTCGTTGTTTTACCGGAACAGCGATATCCATTTCTCTGCTGTTCACCTACTGCGGCTGCAGCTTCTGTGACCAAACGGACACATCTCTCGACAGACTGGGTATGACAGGGATTATTTAGAAACGTCATATTTTCATAAATATTAATCTTAGGTAAAAGAGACCAGACATATATCATACACCGGTGTTTAACCTGCGCAAATGTTGCCAATTTCTAAAGAAAGGTGAACGGAGTGGGGAACTGGGCAGATTTATTTAAAATATATGTTTAATGGAATTTTGTATTACGTGATTTTTTAATATCAAACAGATGCACAACATTTTATGCAAAAAGAAGAGCTTTTATAGAATATTTCGTTAGCGTTTATTTACTACGGACTTTTCAGCAAGATACTACAGTAAAATGTTGAAATAGAATACTGTTAATAGAGCAAGAAATGGTACTGATTGTCTACGAGTATTATAAAAAAGCATGTGCGCAGGCGAATACTGCAAATCAAACCTTTTGAGTCAAACATTATATTTTTTCTACGGCTATTACTTAATATTAAAAATTAGTCAAAATGAGAAAATGCTGTTTTGTATTGTAACCTCAGCTTCTTTCTTTAGGAATATTAATTAATATAGAGGATGAGTGATTGTCGAAATAAATAATCGATCATTAAAAATAATCGATTATTTTCGATCAATCCATTGTTTTCAATCTATTTGTTTTTCGTATTTCCTTTAAAATAGACTACTTGATTATCTTTGAAAAATCAAAAATAATTGATTAATTAAAAAGTCAATTAACCGATAAATCAGTGTTTACAAAAAATTATCGTTTATTTTAAATAATCGATTATTTTCAAATAATCCATTTTTTTTCGTCCATTGAAACAGATTATTTGATAATCTTTGAAAAATCGAAAATAATCGATTAATTAAAAAGTTGATTAACTGATAAATCGATTTTCACAAAAAACCGAATTGTCGATTATTTTAAATAATCGATTATTTTCGATTAATCGATTATTATCAATAATTTATTTTTATTGTATTTTATTTAAAATCGATAATTCGATTATCATTGAAATACCGAAAATAATCGATTAATTAACAAGCCGATTCTACGATAAATCTATTTTCCAAAAAAAATAACCGAATTATCGATTATTTTCTAATAATCCTTTTCATATTTCCTATAAAATTGATTATTCTATTATCTCTGAAAAATCTAAAATAATCGATAAAAATCAATAAATCAAAAATAATTAATAAATATTAAAAAACTGATTAACAGATAAATCGATATTTCTAAAAATAACCGAAATATTGGTTATATAAAATAACGAATTATATTCGATAAATAAATTATTTTCATATAATACCTTTGAAAAGGACCCCGCAATAATCTTATGGACATTGGGTTTCTGTCAAATTGTCTGAATTTTTGATATGTTGTAGATTTTGTCATCTTGAACAAAAGTATCCATGGGCACAAAGTGCCGAAATGAATATTTTGGCAGCTACAGTGCTGCCAAAGCTCCCCTGACCCGTTGCAAAACTATTCATTTTCAATACTATTTACAGATGTCAAAAGCATATTTTAATTATTCTAATATATAGGGTAATGTTTTTGAGGTCACTGGATTCAACCCTCATGTCAGATTGGACAATTGACCGTTGACAATTTACTGTCAACGAGGAATATAAAAGTAAATATCCTCTTTTCACATTGAGAGTTCGGGTTTTTGAGGTCGCTGAATTCAATTCTCATGTCAGATTGGACAAATTGACAGTTTACAACTGTCAATTGACTGTCAACGAGGAATATAAAAGTAAATATCCTCTTTTTACATTAAGAGTTTGTGGTTTTGAGGTCGCTGAATTCAATTCTCATCTCAGATTGGACAAACTAACCGTTGACAGCTGTCAATTCACGGTCAACGAGGAATATAAAAGTAAAGTAAATATCCTCTTTTCACATTGAGAGTTTGACTTTTTGAGGTCGCTGAATTCAATTCTCATGTCAGATTGGACAAATTGACAGTTGACAGCTGTCAACTGTCAACGATCTCAAAAACCCAAACTCTCAATGTGAAAAGAGGATATTTACTTTTATATTCCTCGTTGACCGTAAATTGACAGCTGTCAACAGTCAATTTGTCCAATTTAACATGAGGGTTGAATCCAGTGACCTCAAAAACATTACCCTATATATTAGAATAATCAAAATATGCTTTTGACATCTGTAAATAGTATTGAACATGAATAGTTTTGCAACGGGTCAGGGGAGCTTTGGCAGCTCCGTAGTTGCCAAAATATTCATTTTAGCACTTTGTGCCCATGGAGACTTTTGTTCAGGATGAAAAAATCTACAATATATCAAAAATTCAGACAATTTGACAGAAACCCAATTTCCATAAGATTATTGCGGGGTCCTTTGAAAATAATCGATAAATCGAAAATAATCGATTAATCGAAAATATTCGATTAATCGAAAATAATCGATTAATTAAAACACCGATTAAACGATAAATCGATTTTCCCCCAAAAAATCGATTATTTTTAATTAGTCGATTATTTTGAATAAATCTACTTTCTTTTTGTATTTCCTTTAAAATCGATTATTACATTATCTTGAAATTTTAAGTTATTCATCCTGTATTTTATCTAATATTCTTATAAAAATACTACTAATCAACTATGCTTCTTTACTTCTTATTTATCTACCAAAAAGAGCTAAAAACCACCTTTAGTAAATATTCTTATAAAACTACTTTTTAAAAACAAAATTTCGTTAGCAACAATGTCTATTTACTTCTTATTTAAATTAAATATTTAAAATTTTACCCTTTTGTAAATTTATGTAAGTAATACGAAATCTGTTTTCTGAAATGTATTTGATGAATATTTATTGAAATCCCTTAATGCGGATCTGATGTATTCAGCTCAAAGGATTATGGCGCTTTATGTCAAAACGTTAATAAATATTTACCGCTGAAAACGAATATATTTTTTATATTTCATAACACTGGTACTTGTATTATAAGTATATACAATTTCTTAAGATACATCGTGGCATTTTGAGTTTAAAATTGAATAACTAGAACACTTTAAATTGCTAAAACATCAACAAATAAATCAAAAACAGCTGTCAATGGTGATTGAAACTCAGGCGAAGGTGAGCGTTAAATGGGAAATCGGAGCAATTCGGGTGGCGTCGTGCAAACAATGATTTTCAATTGGTGGGTTACTTGGAGTTAAAACAGACAACATGCGCAGTGTGCAATGTTACATCTTTGGTCTCTTTTATCTAAGGTATCAATATAACCTTTGAGCTCTTCTTCGCTGATTGATTTTGTAATCATTTCGTAGTACTTGGTGGCGTCAAAGTTAATTTCTGGAACTTTAAATTTTCTAACACCGATGTTGGTTTATGTCTGATTTCTAGTTTTTAAAATTCGACGTAAAGCTAGTGTTCTGATGGTTGATTTGTTATCACTTAGCATAGCTAGTAGTAGGATGTGAAAAGTATGCATTCCTTTGAATAACTGGATCAATTATGTTTCTTAAAACTTGAGGCAGATATCTTCTTAAATAAATAATTTTCCACAAATGTCGTGCTCCATCCCAACATCTTGGCTTAGTTTTGATCGCGAACCAAACTGGTTCGTAAACTTTAACGATATAAGTGGCTAACGTTATTAGATTTTCGGTAGGTTTTTTAGATGAAATATATAGACGTAGTATTCTACTAGCAGTTGTTAGCCACCGCGAATGTGAAATTGGGCCCGGCTGAAGATTAGATAAATACTGGGAACACTCACCAGATGTTACAGCCAAAACGATCCTATACAGATAATTCTGATCGTTACTTAGGTTCATCAGATCAACTGCTAGTAATGCATCTCCTTCAATTGCCGTGCATTTCACAACTGGTTGCATGCAGTGTTTTAATGCTTTACCTATATGACCAGAGAACGAATTTGGACCATGCGTTGCACCATCCAAAGCCACTAAAAGATGGCGTAGAGGAAGTTAATTTCTATGGAGGAGGCACACAAACCAATGAAGAGGTTTTTTGTAATAAACTTCTAATTTTTGCATTATACCATTTTCATTTTTGGTATTTACATTAGTTCCATCGCATCCAATTGCAACCAGCTCATCAGTTTTGTACTCGTATAAAGAAAAAAAAAAATTGTAATAGCCGTTAAAATATTTAAAGATGTCCTCGATAAAGGAGTTACATGTCCTAAATATTCCGACATCGGCTCCTGCACCAAAACCACATGTTTTTCAGTAACGTTTAAGGGATGATGGACGCCACCTTTTAAAATAGTTTTTCTTGTTAAATCCTTTCGGCCATCGAAATATATTGATTTTTCAGCATAAGACCGTTTTTATCGTTTGACTGATTTTGCTTTCTTAGCTTTTCGCGTTTTAATTTACTACGATCTATAACTGATGAATTGCATCTTTGGTCACAACTCCTAGGTCCTGAAGTAATGCGGAGGGACACCGCAGCTGCTTCGCGATCAGACAGACCCCATCTATCGCAATCTCGTGCTAAATTTGGTAGAGATGTACGCATTTGTCCAGATATAATAGACATAGGAGGTTCTAAGGAAGGTTCAACAGTAAACTAAGGATTATTTCCAAGGACTCTTTAATTTTAGAAGCATTCGCATCTTTTTGTACCTTGACAGTTTTTACAATGCTGGACGATGGTGCTTCTTGCAATTTTCTTTTTTCTCTTTTTTCTCCATTTATTTTGTGGTATTGCTCTCATCGTTGCCTCATTTTTCTGGCTCTTCGCTAATCTAACAAAAATCCTCTTTTTAAAACAGATATTTTCTTTAATTTTTCACAGGTACATTTTTGAAAACTGATTCACTTGCAGCTTGCAATATCAAATAAATTCTTTGATCTTTTTATGTAGCTTGCAACATTGGCTCTTTGTTTGTAGGGTTTTAGTAGTTCCCGATATTTTTTGTGATACTCTCGGATCCTTTTCACAATTCTTTCGCTTGATATTGTAGGCAATGAAGCTTTCTTCCAAATTTCTTGAAGTTGTGGTACGACAATTCTGGCAACTTTAGCTGACCGTTCATTTTCAGTTTTTGTGAACAAATATTGTTTAAAAATATCCTCGTAGCTTGGCAAAACGTTTGTATTAAATGCTGTACCAACTCCATATAAAGGACATCGAACATTCCGTCCACGAATTAAAGGTAAAGGTGCTGTCATTGTTACTGAAGGTTAGTTATCTGAAACAGTACAGAATTATTTTGGACATTTGACAATTGATATACTAACATAAAGCTTAATACCAATAGGTCTCTAAATTAATATATAAAATTTTAAATTTGTTATTTTCTATTGAAAATTGATGAAGTTTAGCAATTTGGTGGCACCTCTAAACATTAATTGTGTGGGCGAATATTTTCTGCTGTTATCTCTACTAGCAATACCTGCAAGAATAATAAATCGGGTAGTGTAAAATTTCAAACGAAAGTAAAACAACATAAATATATTTTTACTTTCCTATCTGTATACAGATATAAGGAAAGTATAGGAATCATGATTTTTTTCGACCTCGAGTTTTCGACGGATTTTTACGTTTTGAGGTCCCCTGAATCCGTTTTGACTATTTCCGCGATGATGTCTGTCTGTCTGTCTGTCTGTCTGTCTGTCTGTCTGTCTGTCTGTCTGTCTGTCTGTCTGTCTGTCTGTCTGTCTGTCTGTCTGTCTGTCTGTCTGTCTGTCTGTCTGTCTGTCTGTGTGTGTGTGTGTGTGTCTGTGTGTGTGTGTGTGTGTCTGTATAACGCATAACTCATGAACCGATACACAGAAAAACACCAAATTTTAAACTTAAGCTTTGTTTCAGCGTCTAATGAGCTGATTGGATTTTGGGCAGAGTCGGAACATTTGGGGGGGTACTTTATAGGTGGTCATTTTTATATTTTATGGAATATATCTGTTATTTACGTTTGGAGAAGAAAATTCTTTAAATGAAAGTTACTTCTAATATTATTATCTATAATTTTTGTTCTATACAAAATTTTCCTAAAATGGTCCGTATTCGAGAAATTTGACAAAATGTAAAAAAAATATTTTTTTATAAAAATTGTTTAAATAAAAGTTGTTTGTTATATAATTCTCTATAATTTTTATTATTTACATAATTTCTCTAAAATGGACCGTATTCGAGATATTTGAGAAAATGTGTAAATTTCGAATTTTGAAAAAAACGCAAAAACGGATAAAGAAAAAAACATTAAATTTTAAACTTAAGGTTTATTTCGGCCTGACGTGAAATGATTAGATTTTGGACAAAGTCGGAACATCTGGGGGGGTACTTTATGGGAGGCCGTTTTTATATTTTATGGAATATATCTGTTATTTATGTTTGGAGAGGAAAATTGTTCAAATAAAAGTTACTTCTAATATTATTATCTGTAATTTTTGTTTTATGTAAAAATTTCCTGAAATGGTCCGTATTCGAGAAATTTGACAAAACGTGCAAAATTCTGATTTTTATTATGAAAGTTTTTGAAATAAAAGTTGTTTGCGATATCGATCTCTATAATTTTTGTTTATACATGATTTTTCTAAAATGGACCGTAATGAAAAAATTGTAGGAAATTAAAATTTTTCAGTATTTTCGTTTTCCATGAATATCTATAGAAAAATGTTTCGAGGTAGATGTATGTGGACAATGTATATATTTAGTTTATCCTCTAAACATTTATATAACTAGATAGGAAAGTCATGTGTTGGACACATCAGATTTTTTTATTAATTTTTTATATTTTTTAAATTTTTAGGGACCTTGTGGCACCTCAAGACGTGGCGTTAGGGATCTACAATTTGTAAGGGATCGCTAGTATACCAAGTTACAACATTTACGCACACAAGCTAGTTCACTTTCCGCAAAAAGTGAAAAATTCATATTTTTCACTCCACCCTACTAGACATAATAAAAAAACTATTTAAGTAATTACTATTATTAACAGGTATAGGTATTAATTCATAAGCACTGTAGAAAATGACATCACTGCACCACTAATAATTTTACAAAAAAAAAAACACTGAAATCTCTTTCTCTTGTAATCAAACAAAACAAAAACTCTCTCCTTGAACCTTGGTCAGCAAGGGTGTAAAATAAAAAGGTGAAATTATTAGTGACAATTAAAAATTTCCTAAAAGTAAATGAAATGAAATTAAAATAGTAGTTTGTGCAACAAAAGTGGATATGATGGCCGGATGGACAATCTGCTTGAGTTAGACAGTATATTTATCCTACGACCTACTAACGAAAATTTAAAAATTTAAAAAACTATTTAAGGTTATTAAGATAAAACACCTAACATTTTTTTAATACTCGCAATTAAATTGATTTTATATAGGTTTATTAAACTTGATGATTTAGTATAAATAAATAAATAAAAATAGAAATGCTATTAATTATAGATTCTACACAAGAATAACTCATTTTAATGTATATTTATTATCAACAATCAAAAAATATACTGACAATAATTATTAGTTTGACAGAATTATCATTTATTTAAAAAAAATAATAGTAGCTGGGTGACCAAAATATAAACTGTGATTGGTAGATTTTATGTTCTTGCAGTGAAAAATGACTGAAGTTGTCCTAAGTTCTAAGTCAGGAAAACCTCCGAATGAAGTGTCATCATTGTTACCGAAAATATCAAAGTTTTTTGAAAAACGACTACTAAAACGACTAAAACCAATAATTGAACATAAAAATCTTATCCCTTCGTACCAATTTGGTTTCAGGAACAAACACTCGACAATAGATCAAGTACACAGGATCGCCGATATCATCGAAGAAAAAAATATATGCTCAGCTATATTTCTTGACGTAGCCCAAGCATTTGACAAGGTTTGGCATGCTGGCCTGATACAGAAACTTAAAAAAATTCTTCCTAAACAATATATAGACAGGAAGATCAAATTTGTAAATTAATTTTTTTATTTATATTTTATTTTAAAAATGTATACAAAAAAATTCAAAAAGTTCACAAGGTTCAACTCTCAATGTCAAGACACAACTACAATATCACTCACGTGATTCTAATGTGCCATTCCGGGCTCAGAAGAACGTTTTTCAGAGAACCAAAAATACCACAACAGAAGCCGCAGTTCCTATAGGTGAATCTGACGTTTGGCCCTAAAAGGTTGAAACCGCTTAACAAGTGAACTCATAATTAGAAAGAGAAAAGAAATCAAAAAATGGCAAAGTACCATGGTTCCAGAGATAGGCTCTGATGAGTGAACCTAAATTTAGGAGGAAATAGCTCTCGAGAGCTATTTTTATTGAGCGACTAGGACTTTTATCATTATTAAGGGTTAACTAAGTTGTCTATGGATTGGTATGAAATTTCTGTTAAGGTAAACTTGAGGGTGGAGACAAAGGTTGTTGTACTTTTAGAGAGTAATTTCGTGTTTTGTTTCTAAATAATATTGAAAATAATTTTGGTGTTTTTTATAGAGACAGAGATTTAATGACATTTTTTGCCAATATTTAACGAACTCTTATTTAATATTGTTAAGCTGCCATTCCTTGTGTTTTCTATCAATTTCTTAAATGTCTTTCTAAATATTAATAAACATTTAATTTGTTAATGATTTGAGAGAACATAACATCATTTATTTAAATTTTACTATCACAGTAGCGATTCAAAATTTAATTTAAAAATCATGCCATCGTCCAACTCTACTTTATCTCTAAATGAATGTTCTATCTTTGTGGAATCCTTACTTTAAAATAAATAAATAAATCATGCACCAAATAAATCTGAATTACACTTCTTTTGAACGAATCTGAAACATTCAACCATTTAAAAGTACGTCAGAAATCAAGTGGTTAGCGAAAACAGAAAAAAGAAATTAAAAGCTCTCTCACCTGCAGC